GACAACCATGATAGTAACGCATATTAATATATGTGCTTAATTTTTGTAAGAATAGTGGTGATCAAAATCATTTAAAAATTAAATTTATAACAGAAAAAATAGTATATATTTACTACCACTTTAAATATGAAAATAAAATCTTCCGGAAGAGTTGGCAGGTATGTTATATCATTAATAATTTAAAAATATCTCATCCATGTTGCATCCTTGCAGGGTCTTTTAGTTTTTCGTGGCCTTTAGGTCCCATTGGGGCCCTCTGCATCACCCTCATGATTTTAATTGGCCATGAAATATTTACATTATGAAATCGATAGAAGGGAGAAAGAATAATAAATTATATCTTTTAAAGTCATTAAATTGATGCAGACATAATTTGATATGAAACTGCGCTTGCACCACCTTTAAGTGCAACATTAGCGCCTGTAAAATTAATATAAATCTCATGCAGCGTTAAGCACTTGTAGTGGTAAATAGTCGTGTAAATTGACCCTAAAAAGGTCTTTGGGGATTATAAAATTAAGTAAATTAAATGAAATTTATTTGAATTTTTTTAGACAAAATTGCATCGCTTATAAAAAAAAAAGGGAGTAAGGGGCCAATTTTTTGAGTCTTCGCTGAACATTTCAGCTTCAAATAATTTATTAAAATTTGCAGCTTGCAATTAAGGGCTTTCTTAGAAAATTGTATATTTAGTGTCATTATTGTTTCAGTTAGCCTGAAATTATTACTAGCATGAAATCACTATGCACGGCTTTATTTTTCGTGTAATAAGGAAGACCATTTATTCCTAGTAGTTTATTTTAAAAAGTATTAAGTTTTTTTTATTTGCATCCTTGCAAGTCGTATGTCGCAAGTCGTATGTATCTAGTTTACTATGTATCTAGTTATGAATTTGGTTTTGTTAAATATATATAAAAGATAAAAATGATTAAAATAAGACAGATTTTGGCTTACTACTAAATGAAAACTTAATGTAACTGCTATAAAAATCAAAATGGTTATTAGGGAAACATATTTCTTCACTGTAGAATTTAATTTTTTCATTTTGATTTAAAAAGCACATTAATGCAATATTTTATAAATGCTTGTTCGTATCACAATTTATTTAATATATTGTTTGTAGAAATATTGTATTTTCTTTTAAAAAATGCTATTTATATTTCACTTGAAATAATTGCATAAAAACAACAGAAAGATCGGAAGCCAATTAACTCTCCCACCGACACCTAGGGTTCCGCAAACACCATTTGAGAACTCTTGATCTATACCACTTGCACAACATTACGAAATACATGCAGTTCGGTTATAAAATTTAATGACCCTCCAATTCTATCTTGCGAAACCTGCGTAACTAAAAATAAATCTTCTACCTGCTGTTGCATGTGATTAGAACAGCTGTTCCCAAATGGTGTTCCGTGGAACTCTGATGTTCCGTATAAGAGTTAAATAGGTTCAGAGAGTTAGCAATTTTTATAACCAGTGATAAGTTTTGAAATCTCTTATTATGCTTAGATCAAAACTGTAATTCATAATTTATTTATTCTTACGGTTGCCTTCATCAGATTATTTCAAGAAGAAATAATTTCATGAATTATCATAAATTCATAATCGTAATCATAAATTCATTGAAATTATTTATTCATTTATAAATACCAATGATATAAAAATGGTATTTTTTGAAGGAAAATATAAAATTTCTAATAACAATATATTAAAAAATTATGAAGAAAGAAAACAAGCATGTAAACAATATTCCATTAGTAATTCCTATCGTACTTTTCGTATCAAAATAAGTAAATTCCTTAATAAAGAAATATGTTTCCAAAATAACCATTTTCTACGTTTATAGCAGTTCTTTTAAGTTTTCATTTCGAAGTAAACCATAATTCGACTTATTTTAATCTTTTTCAGCTTATGTACACGTACCCCGGAAACAAATTCATAATTTGACTAAATGTTGCACAAGGACTGCAAATTCAAATGTCGGAAATAAGATCAAATTTAAGATTATTAATGATAAAACGATGAAAAATCACATCTTTCTTCTAACTAAACATTTTAAATATAGTCTTAATATAGTAAATATGCAAATATTATTTTAAATAACCTCTTATAGATTGTTCCCAATTACCTCAAACTTCATTTCTAAAGTTGGAGTTCCACCGAAAGAAATTTGATTATTAAGGTTCCGAATAAATAAAAAAAATTGAGAACTGCTGGA